GGGGGGGGGGAAGGGCCACAGGGGAGGAGAGAAGGGAGGAGGGAGCCCCTGGCTCCAGCTTGCAGGGGACAGGGCTAGAATGGCTCTTCTTTCTGGGTGGAAGTGATTTGAGGGGCCGGAAGTCTGGCTATTCCACCTTCTCTCCTCGCACGCAGCCAAAGGCAAGCGGGATTCAGAAGAGAGAAGGAAACCTCCCTCTCTTCCCCACCTTCGAGTGGAGCAGCGACTCCCCGCGGGCGGCAGGCCACTCCATCATTTGCGTTTCAAGTTGGCTGAGGGGGCGGGGTGGGGGGGTGGTGGTGAGGAGGATGGAGGTTCGTTTCTTGCAATGCCGCAGTCTTGTCGTGAGGTGTCAGCAAAGGCTCAGGGCCTCGGTAGGGCTAGGGAAGGTCAAAGCTTTGCACCCCTTCCCAGTCCTCCTTCCTTCCCCGTCTTCAGTTGCCTCTGGCCCTGCAGGGTCGCTCACTGCCCAAACTTCTTCATCTACGTGGTTCCTCCTAGCCTACTAGAGGAGCCTTAGCTCCTAGGACCCTGGAGCTGCGGCCCTCTCTGTCCCTGAGCTCCTGACACCCACTTCTCTTGCAGGGCCACCTCCTCCCCAGCCCCTGCTGCGGCGTCTCTGCTCTGGACCCGGCCTGCTCCTGCTCTCCCTGGCCCTCAGCCTCATTCTGCTCGTGGTTGTCTGTGTGATCGGATCCCAAAGTGGGTGCTCCAGGGGTGGGCAGGACAGGGAGCAATACCGGAGGGGGCTGTATGTGGGGGACAGCGGTGGTGGACACAGTCCCTTTGTTTTATCCTACCCACACCCTTTCCTGGTCAGACTCCCGGCTGCAGCAGGAGATGCAGGCTCTGAGACAGACGTTCAGCAACTTCACAGTGAGCACTGAGGCTGAGGTCAAGGCTCTGAGCACCCAGGGTGAGGGGAGATGGGACTGGGGCTGAAGGGCTGTGGGACGGTTGGGACGTTGGGACACTGAGGAAGTCTCTCCCCCAGGAGGCAATGTGGGAAGAAAGATGAAGTCGCTGGAGTCCCAGCTGGAGAAACAGCAGCAGGACTTGAGTGAAGGTCAGAGAGGGAGTGTGTATGTGTCTGTGTGTAGGGTGTGGGGGTCTCTCAGGCCAAACCAAGGCTCCTTGTGGAAGGGGCGTCTGCAGTTGGTCTTCAGGTCTCAGCGCAAAGATGATAGACGCCTGCCCCCACTGGTTAGGCTGACCTAATTTCCCTCCCTCCCTCTCATTCTCCCCACTCCCCCTGTCCCCTGTCTCCCCAGACCACTCCAGCTTGCTGCTCCACGTGAAGCAGTTTGTGTCTGACCTGCGGAGCCTGAGCTGTCAGATGGCAGCCCTCCAGGGCAATGGTGAGGAGGCGCTGCCTGGCTCCCCTTGCTGCTTACAACCCCCACAGGCAGTGCCTCAGCCTCTTTACTCCTTTCTCCCTCATCAGGCTCTGAAAGGACCTGCTGCCCTGTCAACTGGGTGCAGTATGAAGGCAGCTGCTACTGGTTCTCTCGCTCTGGGAAGTCCTGGCCCGAGGCTGAGAAGTACTGTCAGCTGGAGAGTGCTCACCTGGTAGTGATCACATCTTGGGATGAGCAGGTGAGGTCCCAGAGGGCTCCTCTGGGAGGGTTTCTGGTCTGAGGAGAGCTCACTACCCCCCTCCCCTCTCCCCAGAAATTTGTCCAGCACCACATAGGGCCTGTGAATACCTGGATGGGCCTCACCGACCAAAATGGGCCCTGGAAGTGGGTGGACGGGACGGACTATGAGACAGGTTTCAAGTGAGTGTGCTTCCATGGGACCCGCCTGCTTTCCCATCCCAGCTTGTGGCCCCTGGTCAGAGGGGTCTCCTGGCGACTTGGCTGAGGGTCCAACCTCCTGGGGCCCACAGCTGTCTCATATCTGCAGGAACTGGAGACCAGAGCAGCCAGATGACTGGTATGGGCACGGGCTTGGAGGAGGTGAGGACTGTGCCCACTTTACTGATGATGGTCGCTGGAATGATGATGTCTGCCAGAGACCCTACCGCTGGGTCTGTGAGACAGAACTGGGCAAGGCCAGCCAGAAGCCTTCTCTCCCCTAATTTATTTCCTCAATGCCTTGACTGGCTGAAGGGGCCTGGGATTGGGAATCCTCCTATCTCAGGGCCTCCTCCACCTTCTCTGATTTTTCATCTAGGATTTTAAGGGAAGGGGAAAAGATGGTGTCTGAGGAATGTAGGGTGATGTTGGGAGGAGTGGGGAAATTGAAATCCATGTCACTTTCTGCAGTTTGTGGATTATTGCTGTCAACTTTTTTTTTTTTTAGAATAAAAAGAAGAGAAATATATCTAAACATTCTATGAGTTGTCTAGTTAGTGGGATTAGGAACCAGGACCGGGCTGGATGGCATTAGGAAACCTAGGGCAGGCACCATGGCATCATGAGAACTGTGTGGGCTTTGGGCCAGATGGCCTGAGGTAGGAGCTGGACTTTGTTATTTACAGATATGTGATTTTGGGCAAATCATTCTGTGCTCTGAGTCTCAGCTATAGAATAGTATTTTTACTGAAGTCCATCCTACTTGCACCAGTATCCCCAGAAAGAGAAAAACCCCAGCTTGTTGAGTGGTTCCAAACTTTGAATGAGGTCAGGCATGGTGGCTCAAACCTGTAATCTCAGCATTGTGGGAAAGCTGAGGTAGAAGGATTGCTTGAGCCCAGGAGTTTGAGACCAGCCTGGACAACATAGTGAGATTTCATCTCTACAGAAAAATAAAAAAAATTAGCCAGGTATGGTGATGCACGCCCATAGTCCCAGCTCCTTGGGTGCCTGAGGTGGGAGGCTGCAGAGAGCCGTGAGCATACCACTGTACTCCAGCCTGGGCAACAGTGAGACTCCGACTCAAAAAAAACTTTGAATGAATCTCACTGTTGTCGGTTGCATACATTACAGCAAACAGAAGCAGCATTCACAGACAGGTACCACATACAATGAGTACATAGTCAAGAATCACCAATGAGGAAGACCAACAGCATGGAACAGAAGCACCAATACTGGTAGAATCAACAACCGAGGATGGTTAGGACAAACCAATTCAGACTTTACAGACACTTAGGGAATTATGAACAAAAATTGACAAAATATTTACCCATAAATAAGACCCCAACCAATTCTAAAAAAGAGCAATGCTCTAACCACAGTAATAAAGTTAGAAATGAACATGAAAGTACCGTACAGCCAAAAAAGATCTATCAACATATAATTTTCTCACCATCTTTCTAAATAATTTTGAGAGAAAATAAAAATGAAAAAGTCAAGTGATTTAGAAATGAACAATGAGAACACTATACACTGAAACCGTGGGATGGGCTGAAGTAATTCTCAGGAAGAAATGCATACACCAATAAGCATATTTAGTGAAAAACGAGAAAGGCTGACTTGAAATAAACTAAGTTTCAACTCAAGAAACTTGAAAAAGAATAAAAAATCCCTCAAAATGGGAGGAAGGAATTTACAAAAATACAGCATAAGTCAATGAACTAGAGAATAAAAAATATAGATGTGATTAATAAAAGGAAAATCTGATTCTTGAAAAAGGTGAATGAAATAAATATAGAGGGGGAGAAAAGGAGGCCGACACATAGTTGCAGAAAGGACAAAGTTTACATAGGTACAAACATGAGTAATTATGTAACACTTCCAGATTTAAAACAGCAAAGTCCTTGCATTCCTTGACATTGTTGTAATTTTTAAGTAAATCCCTTAGAAGCAGAGGTTATAACTTTCAAACTTATAAAGAGAAAAAAAATGAAGAAAAAATTAATCTAAAAGAAGAGAGGAAAAACCCAGAACAGGGAGATATGAAAAGCGCCAAATAAAAGGTTAGTTATGAATCCAAATATGGTGATTTTACTAAATGCAAAAGACTTAAGTTATCTTGTTAAAAGACAAAAAGCCTTAAGAATTAAAAAAATAAAATCCAACTAATGACCAGAGGACACATTTGAAACGGAGGCTGAAAGCAAAAGTATGAACAAGATATATTGAGTAAATTCTTACCAAATAAATATCATATAAAGTAGACTTTATGACAAAAAGTATTATTAGAGATAAAGGGGGTCACTTCCTAATGATGAAAGTTTCAATTCAATAGGAAGATTTCCAGTATTAAATATGTATGCACAAAAAACATAGCCACAAAATATATGAAACAAAAACCCAACAACCTTTTTCAAAAATATATACAGTATGGCATGATAAAAGCCAATTTGAGCTTTTTCCCTCTCTTGCACGCTCTCTTTCTGTCTCTCTTCCCTCTGTCTGTCTCTCTATCTCTGTCTCTCTCTTCCATCTCTCTCTCACTCTCTAGAATGGGCAACAGCTGCTGCAGTTGGAGGAAGTGAGTTATCTGGACTCCTCACCGCCAGACCTCCCCTGGCCCAAGGTCCCAGGATGGAGACCCAAGAGATGTGGGGCACCAGGCCCTGGTGGTGGAGGCTGTGCTGTAGTGCTTGGTGCCCTGGGCTTCACAGGGGCAGGAATTGCCACCGCCTCCGTGGCAGCCAAGATGATGTCCCAGCTGCCATCGCCAACGGGGCTCAGTTGCCATGGACAGTCTGGTGGCCACTCTGTAGTCGGTGGGTGTAGCTGGATCCTCCCCGTCATCTAACATCTTGCTGGGCTCCGTGGGATCTATCTTCGGGGCCTGGCTGTGGGATTCAAAAAACCCCCTTCTCCTCTTCCAGTTGAACCCAGGGCTGAAGGGGATTGTCCAAAAGCAAACATATCCCAAGCTGAACCTCCAAAACCCCCACTTGTGTCAGAGAAACACCAGGAATAAAGACCATGTGCAGACGGCCAAAAAAAAAAAAGCCAATTTGAGAAAAAAGAGCAAAAAGCAAGGAAAAAAGGAAATAGCCTTATTAGGCATTAAAGTATATTATAAAGCCATATTAATAAAAATAGTATAGTAATGACACAACAATAGACCAATGTTATGGTACAGAGAGCTCAGAGTCAGACTATGCATAGATAGAACCTTAATAGACAATAAAGAGGGCATCTCGAATTGGTGGAGGAAAGACATTATTGGGAAACCTGACTCTCTATATGAAGAAGAATAGAACTGCTTTCAAACCTAATATCGCAGACAAAGTTGGATGCTGGATGGATTTAAGACCTAAACATAAAAGATAGAACTGCAGAACTAATAGATAAAAAAGGAAAATCTATACTAGCAGGAGCAGGGAAGGACTTCTTAAATAAGGCTTCCAAAACACATACCAAAAAGCTTAAAAAATTTAGTGAAATTGCATGAAAATTAGAAATTTCAATTCTGTGACAATGTATCAGGCTCCCAGCAAGCAACAGATGGTACACCCAAAATGGGTAATTGGAGGATGTTTTAATAAAGGGACTATCTACAAAAGTGTGAACAGGCTTTTAGGGAAGCCACAAGAAATGGGGCAGGATCCCCAGTAACCCAGAGTGAGGAACTGTCAGCATCTCTTGGAACTCAGGGATGGGGCCTCCCAACAGCAGCTGTGAGTTTGGCTGCAGGAGGCAGATACCCACAGAAGCCCTGCAAGAAGGGGACTGGGGAGTCATCATCCTCACTTTCGTCTTCTTCCTCCATCTGATTTCCTAGCTGGGCTGGAAGCCAGATGGCAAGGGAGCAATTTGATGCAATCATACAGCTCAGTCTCCCAGGGTACAGAACAACGTGGCAGAGTAGAGTGGATCTGGAAGGACAAATGGAAGACATGCGGCACAGGAGGAGCCCACAGGTGAAGACCTAGGTAGAAAACCTGTTAGAAAAGTAGCCAAAGGCATAAATGGGAAGATCTCAGAACAAGGAGCCCAGGGGTCCAATGTGCATCTGAAGACATGCTTATAATCACTAGTAGCTAGAGAAATGCAACTTATAACATCAGTGAGCCATCTCTTTTACACCCATCCTAATTAGGAGGCTGTCAAGGATGTGGGGGAAATGAGAACCTTATGCACTGTTGATGCCATTCTGCAAGATATTAGTAGAATTAAGGAATGTCATGATCCCCACAATCCTGCTTCTGGTTATACATACCCGTTATGGGACACCGTGAAGATGTTCATCACAGTGCTGTGTGGGTGCCACAGAGCAAGAGGCAACCTGTCTACTGAGCATAATGTGGTGTGTCTGTTGAGTTACTATCCAGCACTTAGAAACAGTGACTAGATAGATATACACATGGCAACACAAATAGGCCCAAAATCAGCATTGAATGAGAAGTAAGCAGAATGCAGACCAGAACATAATAACATTGAAGTCAAAAGCCTATACACACAATTGCACTTCATAACTTTCTGGCATCCATATGTTGTCAAGGACATGTGTCCAGCCCATTCAAGTGGTTGCTTAAGGAAGGGAGAAGTGTGGGAGGGCGCAATGAAGATCAAGGGGAAACGTGATAATGAAGAAGGACCTTGAATGTACTGATGGTGAAAGCACGCCTTGAGCCAAGGCATGGGAACACTCATACTTCACCTCTGGTCCACCCAGCAGGAACAAGGTATATGAACATCTCAACCCCCACACCTTACATGACCTTTAATGGGAAAAGATGAGAAACATTTCCACTAAAGACAGTGAAAGGTGCAGACAACAGTCAGAAGGGCATCCCCAAGATGGCTCTGCCTCCCAAAGACAACAAAGGCCATAAATTCCTGCCTTTCCCGCCCGCGCGAAACTTAAACCTGTGCTCAAACAACCTCTTCCTATAGAAATGCTACCTCATAGTCTCCTCCAATAAGACTCAGGCACGGCACTGGCCTGCCCCTGCAAGGTTCATAAATATACCTTTCTCCCTGCATAGCTCTCTCTCTCTTATTCCCTCTCTCTGTCCCCGTCATTCTCTCTCCTTTTCTCTCTCTCTCTCTCTCTCTCTCTCTCTCTCGCTTTTTCTCTCTGTCCCCGCCACTCTCTTACTCTCTTGCTCTCTTTCTCTCTCAGTCTCTCTCTCTTTCTCTCTCTCTCTTGTCCTTCCTCGGTTACAGTCCCTTCGTGTAACTGCCCCTTTAATAAATCTCTCAGTTCAGACCGGCGTGGAGTCGTTACTGGGCGCCCAAAACTTCTTTCAGACAGGACCAGACAAGGAGTGCCTTGTCACCTGGACTCATTCTGAAGGTCAATCTGTTACAACCTGATTCAGTCAATCAGCTACTGTCTTGTTGTGGCCAAAGAGAGAGAGGCAGAAGCTGGGAGAAAATGGGAGTTTATTCTGAAAACTGGAAATCAGGGAACAGGTTCAGGTATTGACTGAAAAACTTGTTCACTGAGGCAAATTTTACATTCAGTATTTATAGCTAAAACAGGCAAT